ATACGGAATAAAAATCTCCGCTTCTCTCATTGTGGACGTAGGCACATCGCCGAATCATGTTAAATACTTGTGTTGATTTCTCTATTTCACTTTTCTATTATTTTGCGTTTAACATCCAACAGTAGACCACTTGAGACTGACTTGTTCAGACTCATAACTATTCAAACTCAAATTAGTTTCATTATGTAAGTACTATATTTATATTCTCAACCAAATGGTTTGAATTAATGTAATTCTGGCTGTTTTCTATTGATCTATTTATAAGTAACATGTCAAGTGAATGTAAATTATAACAATGTTTTGGAAGTGTTTATAAATTGTTTAAGTTATAAATGAGTGGTGTATAAGTAGTAGTCCTTAGGAGTCCCACAGAATGTCGGGATAAAAAGTGGTTTGACTAATTATAAACAATTTATAAACATTAGCCAAACCTATGCTGATTTTGTGAGAACCATCTTCAGTAAGGATATGTTCATCAAACAGGTGTGTAAGGTTTGCAACAGAGGTAGCTGGTGTTCAGGATCTTGGCATGCTGGGTCGTGGCAGTGGAGAAGAAATTGGAACTTATGTAGAGAAACTTATGACAAGTGAACTTTCAGGGAATGTGATAGATATTTGTCCTGTAGGAGCCCTCACCTCAAAACCTTTTGCCTTTAAAGCCCGAAACTGGGAGTTGAAGGGAACAGAGAGCATTGATGTCACTGATGCTGTTGGCTCAAACATCCGAATTGATAGTAGAGGTCCAGAGGTCATGCGCATTCTGCCACGATTGAATGAGGTATTTTGAAATGTTGCCTTGTTTTTCTATCAATTTTGTTTCATGTATGAATTGTTTTAAGTCATGACTGAGGCTATTGAAAGGATTTGGCAGATGGATATTGTCTTGAGATAACTTCAACCATATATTACGTATTGAATCAAATATCTGCGAACCTTGAGCCGTTCAATTTGGTATTGTTGCAAATATGTTTAAGAGGTCTCTACATTTTCTATTTCTAGAGCTTAAATTTCGTAATTTAATTCTGGCGACATCTTTTCTTGTTCAAAAATTACTGCCATATCTCAACTAATTGAATTTGATATTTATCAAAAAATGATTTCAGCGTATTCGTAACTATGCTTCTTAGACATGGACGTAATAAAGAATCTATAATATCTAGCTGAGAATATTGTAAATTGTGTCTCTGCAATCCCTATGTCGATGTCTTATTTTGTTTACTTTTTCAAATTGATCCAGTGTTGAGAACTTTCCTTTTTTCTTGTTTTATGATTAACTTCCCCCTTTATTTATATATCCTCCACCCACCCCACCCGGTGCATAAGTTGCTCTCAGACACTGTTCAAAAGATGCTATTTATTCCTTTGATATGTATTGTTAACATAATGGCCACAGTTTTCATGCCAACTCTTTGACTTGTTTTGCTAGTTGTCTTGTTTGAAACATGAGAATAGGTTTAAATCATTTTGTGCACATATATGCAGGACATCAATGAAGAATGGATATCAGATAAGACACGTTTCTTTTATGATGGTCTGAAGAGGCAGAGGCTAAATGACCCCATGATTCGTGGTGCAGATGGGCGCTTCAAGACTGTAAGCTGGCGGGATGCACTTGCTGTGGTTGCAGAGGTCATGCATCAAGCTAAACCAGAGGAAATAGTTGGGGTTGCTGGTAAGCTGTCTGATGCAGAATCCATGATGGCACTAAAAGATTTCTTGAACAAGATGGGGTCAAATAATATTTGGTGCGAAGGAAATGGCCCAAATCCAAATGCTGACCTGCGTTCTCGTTATATCATGAACACTACCATCAGTGGGTTGGAGAAAGCAGATGTTTTTCTTTTAGTTGGCACACAGGTAAACATCCTAGCTTGTTGATATGTATGGGTTACGAATTTTCATGACTTCTGTGTCTAGCATCAACCTCAACATAGATTTTGAGCTTGGTAGGCCCCTCTAACCATTGCCAGTTTGCTTTAAATTGGATGCCTAACAAGGTAACAATGTGAGGTTTTTCGATTTATGAGCATCTTAATTTTGGTTTTAGTGTTGATCTGAATACTCTTACCATTATACAGTATGACCTCTATAAGCTAATAACCTCTATTATATAACAAGTTTCTTGGTCCAAACATTATTAATTCATAGAGGTTATATTGTATACTCATAGTTTTGGGATATGCTATTCTTGGACTAGTGTAGAAAGGCTGGAAAACTTTGAGAATGACGTACACCACTTGATTATCTACCATTCAATAAACGGGAGTCTGTCTCAAATTGTTATCCAACTTCAAAATAATTGAAAACGGCTGAGTAATCATCAGTTGACTGGTGCATGAAGTTGGCCATTGTTTGACTACTAGGCAATATCATTGCTGTTCATGGTGACGTATTGGTTGTGCTGATTAGATGACTAATTTTAAAAGTTTCTTTGAATGGAGCTCCAGAATTTCTTGAAAAATAATTACTGGTAGATAGTGGTGTGTTCAGGGATCTACAATGAGACATTAGTACTGGAGAAGGTCAAGAACTTGTTGTGTCTGGGAGAGAGTGAGCCTGTGAGATGTAGGAGTAGCTTCAATTCCTAGATAAGGATACGTCCTGCTGTGCCAACTCATGGCTTAAAAGTATTGAGAAGAGAGTGAGCCTGTGAGATGTAGGAGTAGCTTTCTATGGGATTTAGTTTCTGTTGTTCACTTCAGAGTATTTGTACTTTGTAGTCATTGGCTCATCATGCAAGTTATTCCTTTTTTAGATTTGGGATGTCCTTTTGATTTATGGCATGTCTGTATTGATTATAAAGCTGGAAACATCTGAACTTTAGTATCATATCTGGAGACTATCTGGAACGTAAGATATAAAGCCCATGTTTAAGTCCCATTTTTTGAAACTTGTTTTTTCCCAAGCTCATTATCAACCATACATTCTCCCAATATCTTTGCACGTAAATCCAAAATGTTTTCCAACTTTTTAACCACACTTCCTCCAAAGCAATCACTTTTTTCAAAACCTATTTTCAAAAAATGGGGCTCAAACAGGGACAAATTTTCATTACCTGACTTAAACGTGGTTAGAGTTTTTCTTGGTGACATGGTAGCCTTATCAGTGTTTCATAACAAACTAATGTGTGTTGGCTTTGGTCATTTTCTTTTGCTTGTAATTTATGCTTATTCTCTTGAACTGCCAGCCAAGGGTAGAAGCTGCTATGGTGAATGCCAGGATCCGGAAAACAGTTCGAGCAACCAATGCAACGGTTGGTTACATAGGCCCTGCTGCTGATTTCAACTATGATCACCAACACCTTGGCACGGGCCCTCAAACACTGATTGAACTTGCCGAGGGACACCATCCCTTTTGCTCTGCCCTCTCAAATGCTAAAAACCCAGTCGTCATTGTTGGAGCTGGAATCTTTGAGCGGAAGGACAAGGATGCAATTTTCTCAACAGTTGAGGCCATTTGCAAAAACGCAAATGCTGTTAGACCTGATTGGAATGGACTTAATGTGTTGCTACTTAATGCTGCCCAAGCTGCGGCTCTGGACCTTGGACTTGTACCAGAATCTGATGGAAGCATTGAATCTGCCAAATTTCTCTATTTGATGGGTGCTGATGATGTGAACTTGGAGAAAGTTCCGGATGATGCCTTTGTCGTTTACCAAGGTCACCATGGTGATCGGGGCGTGTATCGTGCCAATGTAATTCTTCCCTCAACAGCTTTCTCTGAGAAAGAAGGGACATTTGCAAATACAGAAGGATGTGCTCAAACTACAGTACCAGCAGTCCCGACAGTGGGTGATGCCAGGGATGATTGGAAAATAATTAGAGCATTGTCTGAGGTGGCAGGTGCTCAGCTGCCATATGATACTCTTAGTGCTATTAGATCCCGAATGAGGACTGTGGCACCCAATCTTTTGCATACCGATGAAAGAGAACCAGCCACTTTTTCGACTTCTTCCTTGAGACCTGAGATCAAGGAGAAGGTGGATATGGCTCCATTTGAACCTGCTGTCGAGAACTTCTATATGACGGATGCAGTCACAAGGGCATCAAAGATCATGGCACAGTGCAGTGCATTGTTGATGAAGAAATGATCACTAGTAGGTTTTGATACTTCAATAAAGGGGTCAATTCACTTGTTGCCTGCATTTTTATAATTCTTTGTTGGGACAGGAAATAGTATTCCATGTAATGCAGTGCCATAGTGTTGTGCTTATAAGTGGCTACTTAAAGTTCATTTATGGTGTGTACCTTTTTGTAACTTAACCCATACTTGAGCTGTTGTGACTTCGACAGTTGCAGTGGTAGTTGTTTATATTGTCGATTTAAGACTCCTATGATGGGGCTCTCCATATGAGTTTTGACTTTGATCTTATGCTATTATTACTCGAAACCTCAAAGAATCTTATACCATTGTTAACGTGCATGTATAGGAGTTCACTCATGGAAAACAACACGCGCACACAGCGTGATAGTGCTGTGTCAAAGTTTGGCCAATTAGCGTTATAGTTAAAAGACAGATAACCGTCCTAATACTTGAGAGTATACCTAGGGGAAAATTGCAATATTTAGATCAAATGAGAAGATTGCTATTTTTAAGCCATTAAAGAATTAAAACCACAATGTAGCAGTCAAGCATTTTCAAACTCACTAGTACTTCTGTTCAATGTTACAATTCTCCTAAAAAAATTGTATAAGTTTTCAACACAATTCATGAAATTTTTAACATAATTGGCGCAATTCAAGCCCCATCTCTCCGCCTTATATGAGTGCCAAGAGCACCATTTAATCAGCCAAGAAGAAATTGGAAATTTGTCAGTCATTTTAATTTATTTGCGCTTAAATAACGACAGAAGCAGACTATGCCAAATCATTGACTCTGGTTTCAATAGCTGAAATCATCATTGACTCGTTGCAGTAGTTGCTGGAGATGCAAGGATTTTGTCCTGTATAAACTGATTTCATCATTCATGACCTAACAGCTTGGATTACTTCTATTGAAAATCATTCAGAATTTTTATCCGGCACTGTCGAACAAGAAGCAATGCCTGTTTCATTGTACGAGCTTTCCCAATTTTTTCCATCAAACTGCTTGATCTCCACATGAGTTAGTGTTCCAGGATCCACACATCTGAATGTAACTGCTATGCCATCTGGGTTAGACCTTGGAATGTAGAAGGAGGTTATGCCACAAACTTTGCAGAAAGTGTGCTTCGCTGTGTGTGTACCGAAGGTATAGGTGGTAAGGAATTGTTTGGAATCTTCGAAAAGCTCAAACCTTTCTGATGGGACGATAAAGTGTGTATTGCCTCTCATGGAGCAGTCAGAACAGTTACATTGCCAGGCTACAACAACGGATGGTGCTCTCACTTTCCATCTCACTTTTTTGCAGTGACATCCACCATTGTGTACTACCATGTCAGAATCCATTCTGCGAGAACCTATATTTTCAAGAATCAAACAGACAACACCATGTAAGGGATACTAGATGCAACTACAATACGCAAGCAATAGATCTTGGAGAAATTATTTCATAAATGAACCATACTCTAAACTTTAAACAATAATGTTTGGGATTAAAGTATTGCAGAAGAAGCAGAAATGGTTATCACCGAATGCAAGCTCACAATCTAGTGATCCAGTGTAAAAGTTAGTCTCAGTTCACAGATAGGTTGAAATAAATGAGTATTTTGGAGAGGCACCTATTCAAGGGACAAACCAAAATTTGCAAGACTTGACAGGTTTATGAAACTTCTAAGAAAGTTATTATTGGGAAGACAAAGCTATAACACATCACATTGTGAGTTCTATAATATAAACCATTAATATTTATCGAGAGCCATCAAATTTCAGGCCTTGCTCATTTTCCACACTGGTAATTTTGCAAATTGTTTAGTGTGGAGAAGTTCTCACAGGGGCTTAACAGGAGGGACAGTTGTCCCCCTGTTATTGGCTGCCCCATTAGTATGCTTGAACCTAGACAAGAAGGTCTTATTGTGCATGATATTTCTTTTGGATTTTCAATACAAATGTGAAGCACAAGGCCGAATCCAATACTTCGTTAGGATTTATGATTTTTATCATAACCATATACCTTTGATTCTATAGACAATATTATATGATGAGTCAAATTGATGAAATGTTCAAGTCCATCACTTGAAAAGTTTCCAAATTAGACCCTCAGTTTCTAAAGAGCTAAAACAGTGAGAAAATAATCTGAGAGAAGAACCCCATATGGTCCCAAGAGGAAAAATGAAGTTAAGAAAATAGACAATTACTAAAAGAACAATACATAAACATAAAACCCAATTCCCAGATTTATAGAAGACACGTATATTGAGTACTCAAATAACCAGCGTGCAAAGAAATTTCAACTCCAACACACAAGTAACAGGACAGAAAATAATTAAATCATAGGCGTAAGCAAAACTAGAACCCGAACAAAACAAGATTATGCAGGAGCAAGCTTAGGACTTGCTCGACTCAATATACAAACAAGAACTACCAAAACAAGATTCATGATTAGTGTTATTCAGGGCATATACTTGCAACTCTAAACAGGAGTTTAACAGATATTCAGAGAGAGAGACTAAGAGAGACCTTGGAAAGAAGGGAATAAGGGTGCAAGACAGTCAAAAAATGTAGTTGGTGAGGCGAGCTTATCAGTCTAATGATAGAGAATAAACAATCATTTCTTTGTCAAAATATTAGGAGAAAATGCTATTCATCCCACTGGAGATGGATTTTCAGTCTATGTGGCGTTAATGTGGCATTAAATGATAGGTGGAATTAAATAAGTTATTTAATTTCACCTATCATTTAACCAATCATTTACATCCACATAAATTGAGAATGCATCCCCAATGGAGATGAATAGAATTTTTCAAATATTAGCCGTCCTGGTTCCATGTTTTTAGAGTACTGCTATATCTTAATGGGAGTTCATCATCATCGAGATCTAGGAAACATTGTTCATTTGAAAATGCGATGAATAGCATTACTCCCGTATTTAGGGGTGACAATGGCCAAACTTATCTGGCCAATGGGCTGGGCCCCAGGCTCAGATCTGTCCATTAGGAGATCCGGGCTCGGCATGATGACCAAAGGGCTAGACTGGGTTCAGTCCATGGGCCTGATGACCAAAAGGCTAATATTAAAAAATTGAATTTTCACTTGATTTTTGAATAAATTAGTTTTTACCCTACATTGCACGGGTTGTGTTATTTTGAAGGTGATGTTAGTGTTTTATGGGTTAAAATTAGATGTGAATTTGTATTACTAAATTTTCATACACACATTTTGTATGATAGAAATCAGAACACATTAAAGCTTAAGACTTTATGCATTAAATACAATATTTGTTATAGGATTAGATTCACCTTAACTGGAGTCATAAAGAGTAGTGAGCAAATGACTTGAAGGCTGATTACTTCGGAAGTGTTTAATAAATTAAAAATTCACAATTCTGGTGAAATCAGTGAATACAATGAACTTACTTTTAGACGTGATCTCATACATATAAATTGTTCTTCTTCTGCTTTATAAATGGCTCCATAAATAAAATCGTGAAAATTGGTACACAATAAAAAAGTTTGGTGATCTTCATTGATAAGCTCCACGAAATTTTTAAGATATTGATAATTTGGAAATTGAATGATAGTAGCAGAAAATCATTGATTTAGAGAAAGTATATACTCCAAAGAAATCTGCATAAAAAACATAAGGATAATTGGCACAAAACGTCCCTACCTTTGACATGTATTGTGGAAATCGTCCCTACTTTTAATTTCTTGGCATTTATGCTCTTACCTTCAACGTTTCGTGCGCCGAAGGTCCTTTCCACCATGTTTTGACGATTTTACCCTCCTAATCAAATATAACAAAACCAAAAGAAAAGACAAATAAAGAACACATTGCAATTATGTGTCCAAACTTTTTAAAATGTGCAAACGAGTCCAAATTTGAAAAAACTATCACCCTAAACCGCCACCTTTGAAGCCAAAAATCCTCAGCCAACCACCGCCCAAACCACCGGACCTCCATACTATCGGAAAGCCCTCACTCCCCTCTACACATACCCATAAACAAATCAATCAAACAACAATTATATGGGCAAAATCAATAGAAATTCTCCTCGGCTGAGTGGGAAGTTTTTTAGGTCAAATTCAAAATTGCTTCGTTTGAGAGGTGAATTGTAGCAATTGATTCCCTACCTAGAGTCGTTACATCTTTAATTGTTTGCTGGTTGGAGCAATTTGTTGATTGGAGATGTGGAGGAACATCAATTGAAAGGGGGTTGAAACGGTTGGATTGTCTTCTTCGTTTATGAATGAACTGTCATGTCCAGGCGAAACTGAGGAAGACTCATATGCTCATTGGATGCTCCATGAAGAGTAGGAAACTGAGGTGGTGGTCCGCGATCATGGGACCCACCATCGGTGCCAAAAAAATCTCCTGAAATCTACGTAGCGGCTGTGTTCAAAGTTGCAGCCTGCTGGGTTTGATTATGTGCATTAAAGGACGTTTGAGGACCATGGACAGGGATGTATTGGTCTGTAGAATTTGGGAATGGCTTGGGTATCGCCGAAATAGGTGGTGCCGACAGTTTTTGCATTCGCGAGTAGGGTATTTTGGCTTGCAATTTCTACCAAATGTGTTGGCATGAAGGTTGGATGTTGGGTGGTATGTGTAGAGGGGAGCGAGGGCTTTCAGATGGTATGGAGGTCCGATGATTTGGGTGGTGGTTGGCTGGGGATTTTTTGCTGCAAAGGTGACAGCTTATGGGTGATGGTTTTTTCAAATTTGGACTAATTTGCACCTTTTAAAAAGTTTGGACACATAATTGCAATGTGTTCTTTATTTTTCTTTTCTTTTGATTTTGTTATATTTGATTAGGAGGGTAAAATCGTCAATACACGGTGAAAAGGACATTTGGCGCACAAAACGTTGAAGGTAAATGCATAAATGTTAAGAAATGAAAGGTAGAGACGATTTCCACAATACATGTCAAAGATATGGACGTTTTGTGCCAATTATCCAAAACATAATCTATATTAATAATAAACTTTGTTTATCACGGACACTTCCACATTGCATGAATATATGTGTTGCGTGCAGCTTAGATGTGTGTGGATGGAGAGGTTTAGAGCTTCAACTTTTTGTTAGATAGGGTGGTTAGTTAATTGTGTTGAAATCAAATGAACGATGAAAGTGAATAAATGGTAAAATTCTAGTTTATGTGATAAAAATGAGAGATTTAAGTTTTGTAATGGCAAATGAATTGTGAAAATATTAATGAAAAACTAAATTATTGTGCAGTGCGGAGTCTTGCTCCGCACAGTGCAGAGCAAGACTCCGCTTGTGCGAAGTCTTCCTCGGCACTGTGCGGACTATTTACTCTGCACATTGCGGAGTGATACTCCACACTTCATGGCGTACGACTCTACACTGTGATTTTCTAAAAAAAAAAATTACTTTACATTTTTGAAATTACTGATTTATTTTTTATTAATTTGCCAAAAAATAAACATTTCGTTATTATAATTAATTACATTTAAGTGATAACATTTGCTTCACCCAAACTAAATACAATTTCACTTATTTTTAATTTAATAATTCAAAAACATTGATACAAATTACAAAAGCTTGTATTCATTTACAAGTTAATTTAATTCTAGAAAACATTCAATTCTATTACAAAAAACACAATTTCATTCCATACATATAAGAAAAAGAAGGCCATCCCACTAAAAAACACAAGATACCTTCATCTACTACAAAAATAGATGAATTAATTTTGGAAGTAATATATGAATTAAATCTAGTTCATGCCATATACTCATAGCCATACAATTAATTTACATACATAACACCATTGAATATTTTACAACTTAATTGAAAAGGCACTAAATTAATTTGAGAAATTACTTTATGAGGCCACACGGAAAATAAAAAATGAAAAGAAAAACCAAATGCCTTTACATTTACTCAATCAACATTAAAACTAAACACTATAAAGGAAAATATAGCAATTTGTGGTTTCTACTTTGTTTGAATTAGATTTTGCAATGCCTTCATTTTATCATTAATCTTGTTCACATGCCTCCTCCTCTGCCAAATGCTCTATCCATAATATCATAATCCAGAATTCATTACACGAATATAAACATACAAACTCCAAAATGAAAATTCTAAAAATGGTATAACTACAAATTTTTGTCCAATAAAAAGAAACATTTTCTCTTCCACGAGCTCCGGTGTGGTCTTGATTTTGGCAGTGCCTACCAAGGCTTCAATATCCTACATATAACAACGGGTATCCGTACTGCGACGCAGACACGGTGTCCTCCGCGCTGCGCGGAAAACTGTTTCTTCGTAGAGTGGACACCGTGACGAAGTAGAGCCGGAGACGATGAACAATTGAGGATTGTGACATCACGAAATTGGTTGTCGCGATTTGTGGACACAGTCTACTATTTTTACTACACCATGGTCTTTGAGTGAAATGAAGATTTTGGTTCCTCTCTTGTTGGTTTGCTTCTCCAATACAAAAGGTACATGGAGAGATATTTATAAAATATCAACTGCAACTCATCCAATAGAAAAGGTACATGGAGAAAATATTTATAACATATCAATTGCAACCATAGTTTGAAAAAACGTAAACGGGTACCGAGGCGTTTTTTTGTTGTCAGGCGAGGCGTAAGCCTCAAAACGTTTTGAGGCGTAAGCCTCACCACAAACAAAAACAGGTGCAATCTGGCGTCGATGCACTGAACAAGAAAAAAGACAAGCAAAGTCTAGTGAAACAATTTTAAATTGTAAGTCACTAGAAGAAGGCAGAAGCAAATGAGAAATGAAACCAAGTAAAGTCTAGTGAAACAATTTTAAATTGTAAGTCACTAGAAGAAGGCAGAAGCAAAGGAGAAAAGAGACATAGAAGCAACACTTGAGGACCCCTTTTAAGCGAAGGATTGAAGATAAGTTTTCTGGTTGCCGTTTAGTTTTTGGAAGATTTCTGACTACAGTGTAGTTTTGGCCGTCTAGGAAGATTTCTGTCTGTCGTGTAGAAGGATTTCTAGCTGCCTTTTGGTATTCTAGATATTTTAATATTTTGTTTGACCCAAAATGTCTTTTTAAATTGGCTATTCTCTTTTTTAAAAAGGGTATTTTTTAATTCATTTTCAAATACCTGAAAAAAAACATACTTCAAAT